GCTTGTGGCCACTCTTACTGTGGCCACAGAAAACTCATACAAAGGATAAGGCTGACTTTGGGTATGGCTAGCCCAGTGAAGTAGAACACCCAGCATGCCAGAAAACTCCCAAACTGCCTGCAGCCCTGACTCTTGGCAGAAAGGGGGAGGGGCGGGAGCACGAGTTTCATGGGAGGCTGGGTGCCCTCCCTACCTGGAGACTGAAACCTGCACTGGTCTTAGAGACCATGATCCTGGGTGGCACTTTGTCCTTCCTTTAGGAGTTGCCATGGCTCCCAGCCCACACTGGCCTGCTCTGGCCTCTGAGTCAGGAGGGGCCTGGCTTCTTCGGCAGCAGACAAGGGGCTCCTGTCAGCCCTCACAACTTTCAGGATACCTGGGTGGGTCCTCTGTGCCTCTGTCAATCCTCAGTCAGAACTCAGCCCCTCAAATTTGCCCTGGGTGACATCCACTCAACACCCTCTGCCCCTCTAGTGCTGGAGTGAGGGATGGGCAAGGCCTTATCCCATTGATGTCAGCCCCTCAAGGCCTCCTCTGCCCAGGGCTGGCCAGCACTATCTACTCTCCACCAGACCCTCTTCCTGCCTCCACTCTGCCACCCACCATCCTATCACATCCCTGCCTCTCTGCCATTCCAAAGCCACTTCCCCTTGAGCAGCCATTGCTGGGTTCCTGCACTCCATCCGCATGGCTATCTTTCTTCAGGTCACCCTGCATGCTGGGTGAATATCTCACTCCAGTCAGAGCTTTGAGCTTTCAATGCTAAAATCTTCCATCTAGGCCTCAGGCACCTCCCTCCACAGCCCACTGCAGCCACCTCCAAAGTTGGGTCATCACTGTGGGGCACAGATGGCACAAAACATCCATCTGACCTCCCCAGCCCCTAGCACCAGCCCCATCATGCTGTTCGCACAACAGGGTCACTTCAACACAAACAGGACTTGCTCACTGCTCCAGAGACAATCCTCCATGAATCCGTGCTCCCAGGTAACCCTGGAGTCTATGTCTCGCCTACCAGGCCCATTGCCCACCTGGAAGAGCCACCTGGAACATGCCTCATACACTTACCCACAGCCCACTAGCTCCTGAATAGCTCACCACTTGGAAATCTCAACTCATGTCACCTCTTCCAAGAAGCCTTCCTGGATCCCAGTCCAGGTCAGGGTTCCTGCTGGATGCTCTGCTTTCAAGGCCCTCATCCCTTCCTTCTTGGCAAGTACCCATGTGTGATTCACTATGCACTGATTTGGAGACTGTGATTCACAGACTTCTCCCCCTCCCCTTCCAGGGCAAAGACTTCCATGATTCTGCCTACTTTCATAGCCCACATCCAGCCACAAGTTTGGTCCCCACAGAGAGCAGACTAAGCAGATTAGGTAGACAGGACTACAGGCTAGGAAGACAGTGCGTAGCTAAACCAACCCCTCTCAGGTGCAGCTGACTGGGAGGCTGGGATGTGGGCAATCCTAGCCCTCTTGGGGAGTCCCCATTCTCATCTGTAGGATAAAGCTGGTCAGTTAGCTCTTGCCCCAGCCCAGGAGTGAGTGCCCTGCTCCCAGACACAAGATCCCCAGGAGCATGGCAACTGACATCACACTGAAGCACCTGGGTAAACAGACCCTTGTGCAGAGGTGGAAAGGGGGTGGTGGTCACCTTCACGTGTAGCTGCCACTAGGTCATTCACAAGCCTCTGGCACCAGCCATAACTGTTCAAAGTGCTGCTGAGCACTACATGCATGTGCTACTCAGACACCCACAAGGCAGGTGCTGTTGCTGCCCTGTGACAGGTAAGGAAAGTGGAGCCCCTGTGCCTGCACCTGGAGGCAGCTTAGCCTCATAGGCCTGGGTCAGGATTCATCCACAGAAGCATCAAGTCCACCACAAGGTTACCCCACACCCTGGGTTCAGTCCCCACTGAGGACCAAGGCACCTTCAGCCCACCCCCTGGACCCATCCTGGCTCGGCATCTCCTGGTCTTCACGGTGTTTACACCAAGGCCCCTCAGCTGAGCCTCCAGCCATCCATCAAGATGTCTGTGGCGGGGGGGGGGAGGGTCTCTCTCAGGATTGAGACATTGAGCTGTACACCCCTGAAAGGCACCAGATCTCACTGTCCCTGCTGTGATCACTCCCAATATTTTCCAAGGGTTGCACAGACACTCCAAACCTTAAGAGTTGTTACCCACCCCTAGGGCCGGGGATTTAGCTCAGTGGTTCTGTCGCCTGCCCTGCAAATGCAAGGACCTGAGTTCGATCCCTGGTACCAAAAAAAAAAAAAAAAAAAAGAGTTGTTACCTCTACCACAACCTTCCCCAGGCATGTGCAGGGCCAGGCCAGGCCAGGCCAGCCAGTGGTCAGATCTAAAAGATGCCCATCCCCCAGCTCCAGCCTAAGCAGCCTCTTCCTCATAGGAGGCACCCAGGTGCCAGTGATTGTGCTCTTTACTGGATCCCCAAGCATCTCACCAGCCCCTGCTTGGGGAAACACACCTTCCGAGAGGGCAGCCAGGTGCCCCAGACCCTTCCGAAGAGCAGTCTGGGGGGTGGCCCTCACAGTATTTCTGACACTTCAAGGCAAACTTGTCCACCAGAAGACCATGAACCCACATCAAGCAGGGGACTCCAGGCTGCAGACACCAACTGAGCACATGAATCCCCAGGCTGGCAAGGACCTCACTCTGTCTTTAGTCCTTCGAAAACAAAACCAAAATGCCCATTAGGCAATACCACTGAGCACTACAAAGTTGAAGGAATCTAGCACCTCACTCCCCTCAGCTCAAGGGCTGCTGGTCACCATGGCTGGTCCAGGCACAGCCCCAGGAAAAGGCTGTTTGTTTGGCCTCTGCAGCAGGCAAACCAGTTGGGTGAGATTTTTTCCCTCTGCTTCCGGATAAACTTGGCCATTCTTGAACCTATAAGGCTGCATTCTCCAAGGTGTAACCAAGGCCACCCTGGGCGTCCTCAAAGCCTACCAGTTCTTTTGGCTGGAATTGCATGGTGCTTCGTCTCCTGTAACTGTCTTGACTCCCTGCAGCCACCATGACTGGGAACTGAAGGTTGAGTTGTGAAGACTGAGCTGGTCTCCACCCCTCACTGGGAGCTGGGCTCATGGTACAAGAAAGACACACAGGAGAGCCCCACAGCTTCCAACCCATTGTCAGAGCAAGACCCAAATGTGGAGCAGAGAAGCTGGGCAGGCAGGAGGGCCAGTGGCCTGGTGAGGCAGAATGAGGGAGATGGTGCTCCAGGACAGCAGGACATGGCTGCAAACAGGTTCCATGAAGGGAAGTTGAGTTATCTGTTGTCTTTCTTAACCCCTTCTCCCTCTCAGAGCTGTTGCCCTCTCTATGGTGGCTTGGTTGGAGACAATCACCCCCAGACACTTGCAGATATGCAGAGGCTGCGGTCCACATCCACATCACAACACGCCCATTTGGCACCTGCCCAATCCCTACACAAGTGCCCCAGAACTGATGAAGAAACGGGCCTGATTTGGGAGAGAAAAGGAAAAGGCTTGTGTCTTCAGGGAGCAAGGAAGAGGCACCCCAGTGTCAAAGTAGGGAGGGACAAGGCCAGGACGGAGCCTGGGCAGCAGGACAGTCTTGACACCAACCCCAGTGGCAGCCCCTCATCATTACTTCTTTTCCAGGTCCCCCATGCATGTGGCAGAGCAGTCCTGGTAAGGCCTAAAGGATTGTGATCTAGGCAATTGACACCAGGCAGGTGGGGTGAGCAGGTAGCCCAGGAAGACAAGCTTGCTGAAGATTACCAAGAACAAGGCAAGACCAAGTGAGAAACACAGTTTTGTTGGGAAGGTAGACTGCTTTTTTTCTTCTGTGTATGAGTCCCCTGATCCTTAGTGCTCATAAGAAATGAGGGCTATTGATCCCCAGTACCAAAAAAAAAAAAAAAAGAAATGAGGGTTAGGCCACCAAGCTAGGAAGAAAAGTAGAGGGCCACAGGCTGCTCCCCAGAAGGAGGACCCATGGCTTGCCTGGGGCCAAGTAGGACAGAAGGGGAGGGGAGTCCAGCACTAGGAGGCCAGCTCTCCCCAAGAATCACCATTAGAAAAGGTGACCAAAGTTCAGAGTAGGCTGCAACCCCTCAGCATCTTTCCAGATACCCTACATATTGACCACAGACATGCCATGATAATGTCCCCAACTCCACGAGGGAAATGACCCTCTGCCTATATGATGGCACCCACTCACCCTACATGATGGTACCCACACACTGGGTGCAACGCTCCCAGCTCCAAAGGTTCCATTTGAGGACTGGCTCTTGACTCTACAAAGTCCTCTGGGGAGGAGTTTGGGAGTATGAACACTGACATCAGGAATAGGATTCAGAGCACCTCCAGAACCCAAAGCACTTGGCCACCACAAGTAGCCCATCCAGAAACCACTGCACTTGCTGACAAGAAAGAACTGGGTGCTGAAGGGGAGTGCAAGGCCCTGACAGCCTGGGGAGCTAGGATATGGGCCTCCACTGGACGGCAGGATGCTCACTGCTCTCGCTCCTCTCTGCCAGCCAAGATGGCAAGATAGCACACCTGCAAGCAGAAGGCGTCTGTGGACATTGGGAAGACAATGAAAGTGATTCCCTCAGAATGAAAAACAGAAGATGAAGCCCCAATCTGGACTTTCCCTTCCCCAGTATCAGTTAAACTGCACCCCTTTCTCCAAAAGCCTAACAGAAGAGCAAGGAAATTACACAAGGGGCTTCCTTTGAAAAATGGCGGCAAACCTCAAACTAGCTTTAAATAAGCAGCTGAAGAATGTCCTCTTTAAAGCACCTTTTCTGTAAGCCAGAGAGCTCAGGTGACAATACCAACGAGGACAGCCACTTTCATAGCCCCCTTCGGAACAACAAATCAGACAGCCGGAGCTCTGTACACACAAGCTTAGACACAGCCCCTGCCTGACTTTGGCTCCTAGTGACTCAACACAAATGCCAGGTCAGACAGCTCAGGAAAAGAAGCATCCGGGGGACACACACTCACCTGGTCAGGGAACCAAAGTTATGTTTCAAACTGGGTCAAGAGGTCCCTTATTTCTGGGGCCACATGTCGTGCGGCATTTGCAGCCTCAGTTATAGCTTTCCGATACATCCCCTTCTTCTTACGGTTAAATCTCAGTTTGAAAAATTCAGAGAAAGGGGAGAGTTTTGAAATAGACAAGAATGATGTAGTCGGAGACCCAAACCATGAGACTTTTGCTTCTTGCCAAGAGGGCTCTCCGTCCTCCTTCTGGCCAAGGCTGATGTCAAGGACACGCGCTGGCCACCAAGGAAAACCATGAATCTTACCCCACACGACGTCCCCTACAGCCACGGTCCTTCCATCTTCGGTAACACACTTAGAGACGCTCTGTGTATGCAGCCTGACTGTTAGGGGTGGGACTGTCTGGCGAACACCCCTGGATGAGGAAGGCACAGTTGCACCATCACCGGATGAGAGGTCCCCTGTATCTGGAGACGTCACTTCCGAGCTGGATGATTTGGATTCATCCAGGCTGTCGCTGCTGCACACAGACTCACTGGCGCAATCTGCTCTTCTCCCAGGGCAATTTACCAGAAAGGCTAAGCCATCACGTCCCTGTTTACTTTGGGGACACCTCTTGAAGTCATCATCCTCACCAGAACTTCCGGAAGACAAATCCTGCAGTCCATGGGCAGAGCTATCCGCAAAGAGGGCAGGTGAGCTGGTCCGGGGGCCTTGTTGGCAGCCATTCAGCTCCTCCACCAGCTCGGCCCTGTATAGGGGCTCACACTCACCATCCCCCAGGCGGTGGGGCTTCAGGCGGATCTTAGGAGGTGGCAAGTCTGAGCCAGGAGGCAGAGGACGTGTCAGCTTCAGCTTGGGGATGGAGGCAGAAGGTCCACTGGGTGGTCGGTCCCCATTGCCCCTGGACTCTGCATCTCTCAGCACCTCGGGTTCCTGGCTGCCATTGTGGAGAGCCTGCTGGGGGCAGAATGGCTCCAGGGAGCCATGCACACGGGATGGGATCTTGACCACCTCACCCTTGCCCTGGGGTGTACTGTAGGAGATCTTGATGACAGGGCTCCGTGGGACCTGTTCAGTCGAGGCCCTGTCCTCCTCCCGTCTCTCCTTCTTGCTCTTCCTCAAAGTGGCTGTGGCTGCAGGGTCGCTGTCCTCTGGCTCCTCTGGCTTGCGGGGCTCCCTGTCTGAGCCACTGCCCAGCCTCCGGCGGGGCCTGGAAGCAGCTGGGGGACTGGGGCTGGCCTCCTGGGGACTCACAGTGCTCTTGCACTTCTCACAGAGCACCTGGCGGGGACGTAGGCGGATGGTACTCAGGATGAGGCGGCCTGGGTCTCGGTTGCGGGACAAACGACGTCGGGTTCGCTTGATGGTCCTTGGGGGAGGCTGTGGCACCCACTGCTGATAGGTGTTTCTCAGCCAGAGTGGGTGAGGGAAGGGGGCACCTTCAAAGTATGGTGGGTAGGGGGGCAGGCTCCGGGCAGGCAGTGGTGGCACGAGGGGCGGAGGTACCTCAGGGCCAGCTATCTTGGGAGGCTGGTCCTCGGGGGACTGTTCGCTGTGGGGAGGAGGCAGGAAGCCCGTCCCCAGCTGCATCACTTCTCCATCACTTTCCTCAGGGGCGGGGCCATGGGGATTGACGGCAGGGGGGTCATCAGCCAGTGGCAGTCCAAAGAGGCCAGACCTGCCAGAAAGGACACAGAAAGGAGAGTGAGGATGGCAAGGGTCCCCTGCTGTGTCCAGCCCCTGCTGCCAGGCTCTGCTCTCCCACAGACCTGGGCAGCTGCATGTGTCTCAAATTCAGGGTGGCATTCCTAGCCTGTAAAGAGATGTACAAGCCCTGTGTATGTCCTGTGCCCAGCATCCAGGTGGATGCACACACGAAGGTCCCATGATGTGGCCTACAGGCTGTTTCTCTGGTCACAATGTCTGAATCTCAGCCTATGGCCACAAGAGAGAGTTGCCAGGAAGCTTGAGAACGGGGTCTGAGTTCAGAGATGTGTCCTGGCCAGGTGGGGGAGGGAGGACCAGCTGCTCTGTGGCCAGTGGCCATAAAACCCAAGACCCCTGCTCACAGACCTCACCTGTTCCCTACCCTTCTCTCCAAAGGAAGCATCCCCAGAAGGGCTGGTGACCCAAGAAAGACTCCCAAGTAAGCCTCTCAAACTGGTCCAAGTATGTCCCCTGGAGCAGTCGAGTCTCAGGTGCCTGATGCATGGCAATGTGTACAGGGTAGGAGCCACATGTGGTCAGACCTTGAGCCATAGCCACTGGCTCTGTAGTCCAGAGAGGACAGAGGCAGCCACCAAACGAGAGCCCGCATGAGCACCATAACCTCCCAAATCCCAGAGTCCTGTAGTTGGCTCCAACTGCTTCCTCCAACTCCCTTCAGGGGAGGTTCATCCTGCCACATTACCCACCAAGATCACTGCCAGCCTGCCAACCTTGGTCTGTTCATCATGGGGCACCAAAGGAAGATGTCAGGAGAAAGGGAGGGCCAGGAACTCAGAGTCCCAGGGAGTAGAAATGTTCCTGCCAGAGGGTGACAGCCAGGAACCAATGGGGGGTGGGGCAGACTCCAGGGGAAGTTGGAGCAGCCAGAAGGTCACATGGTTGCCTCTCTGGGCTGCCAATGGGCAGACCCCTTGCTGGGGGTGGGGATGAGCAACCTGACCATACAGAGTTGAGGGCCAGGATAAAGGCCCAGAACAGCAGAGAAACCTATAGGAGCTGGGCCTGGAAGATAGATCAGGGTCCAGGGACAGGAAGTGTCCTTCGAGGGCCTCCCCAAAGCCCACTTCCTGCTAGCTTTCACAGCCATTTAAAACCATGAACTGGGGGTTCCCTTTGGCACCCTCTTCATCTATACCCCTTCTGTCCAGCCCCACCCAGCTTCAGAGTCCACTTCCCTACCTGCCTCTGACACAGCAGCCTGTGTCCCATGGCCAGCCTGATTATACCAGTACAGAGCCCTTCCTGACAACCAGGCACATAATTTCAGAGCGGAACCTCTGGCAGCCTTTTGCTTCCAGCCCCAACCCATCTCTCCAGAGTACAGTTCCATCTTCTCTCCCCAGATGACCCTGTCCTTACAGTGGGCTAGGAATGCTCCATACAACAGGCCACGCAGTTTCAGGAGCTCCAGGATGTCACCTGCTCCCTCAGGTAGTCTCTGCAAGTCTAGGATAGACACACAGCTGTCAGCCTGAGATGCAGGCCCTCACTGGGCCAGTTCTCTCAGCCACCAAGCACAGGCCAGGGGCAGGACCCTTCCCAGGAAAGTCAAACCAGGAAGCAGGCCAGGCTGCAGTATCCTCTAGACGGACCCAAGTCACACCACTGTCCACCAGCACCAGGGCACTGGAGAAGCTAGCCCTGCAGAAAGACCAGTGGTGACCCTGGCATAGCAGGCAGCCATACTTCCTTCCTGGAGTTGCTGCTCTGCCTGGGCCACACCCGAGACCTGCCTGCTGAGTAAACAGTGGAAATGGCTTACCCCCAGACAGCAGGTGGCCCTGCAGGGACCTGGGCTCCCTAAACCCTTTACCAGCTTTACAGGATGGCCAGCATCGCTATTCCCATTTCACAGATGGGACAGCAGGGCTACTGGGACTAGGGAACCTGCTCCACCCAAGAGGCTCTTTAACATGTGGGGCTGCAGTCCCCAGGCATGTACACAGCCTCAGCACAAGCTGCTCTCTTTGGGAAGAACCTGAAATATGGCCTGGCTTGGGGTACACAGTGTGACCCTTCTATAACCACTGCAGTCTGTGACTCCCCAAAAGGTTGGCACCCTCAGTGAGGACAGGCCATGGCCTGAGTTTGCCCACTCTAGAGACAGAGGCCCAGCTGTGCCTACAGGTGAGAGGACTACGCAGCCCTGCACCCACAGAGGAACTGTTGGGGTCTACCCTGGACTCAAAGAGCCCATGGTGGGTATAGCCTTAGGGGTCCTACCCTTGGGTGGAAAGTAAGCATGTGGGAAGGGCTATCAGGACTGGAGGGGCCTCAACAGGCTGGCAAAGGACCCCACACAGAAAACTGAAGGGACCTGGAAACAAACCTCAGCACAGCATCTTCAGGGAGCTTGGGAGTGGAGCAAAGAATCTCTGCTTTGAGAAAAAGCTAAAGAAACTGATAAGCTCCAGAGGCTCTAATGGGGTCCTGACCCAAAAGCAAAAAGCAGCACTGCCCCTAAAGGGACAGAAAACCAGAGCTCCCCAGGAACACCAAGAACATGGAGGCCTAGGGACATGCATCCTGGCCCAAGGTCCTTAGCAGAATAGTAGTGGCCAAGCCACATCCCTGGGGACTCACCTGGGGGTCTAACCCAGCCACCCATCCAGAGTGGCCCAGGCTGAGGTTGGCTCATGGGCAGGAGGAAAGCAACCCTGGTTGCCTGCCAGAGCTCTGGGCTGCCCCTGCCTGCAGCCGCCTCCATCCAGCTTCCCTGATCCAAAGCCCCAGGAACTGCAGCTGCTGATACCCCACTGGCAGGCTGTGCTCCCCGCCCCCCACGTCTGCCCTAGACCTTCCTTCCTTGCCTCTGATGGGGCAGGGGGGTGGGTGGTGTGATCCTGCTGCTGCCTGTGGGGGTGAGTAAACATTGCTCCTGAGTCAGAAACACGGGGACATGCAGAGCCAGGCAAGAGCCTGTGGAAGCCTCTGCACACAGACGCGCTGCCAGGAGCCTGCAGACCCAGGATGGCCTGAATCCAAACACCCAAGGCCCCACCTCAGGCTGTCCACCGAGTTAATTTTGAAAGGACCTGCAGTCTTTCACCAGTCATGCAGCCAGCCAGTAGCAAGGCTGCAGCCTTACAGGAGCCAGGAATAGGCAGGATCTATAGGAAACAGAGTGGCCTGTAGGGTCTGCTGGGCAGATGGAAGCTTCGAAGGGCCACCTCTGCTCCAGGCATTAAGGTCAGCAGATTAGCAGGACAAGTGACAGCCTGGACACCAGACTGGCTCCTTCCCAGGGCACACAATGGGACTTGTCCCACCCCAAGGGCACTGTCCTCAGGACACCCAGATGAGAGTGGATGGGAATTCCAGAATCTTGGAATCAAAGGTTTGTTTGGAATCAAACAATCTTAGAATCAAAGGGTCAGCAACATCCCACACTAGATCTTCCAGGTTCCCCAGCAGCACAGGCCAGAACCTCCATGGCCCACATCCTTAATCCTCCCTCACCCACTCTCTTAGATGGCATTTCCTATGGAGAAGCTCCCAAGACCAATCTGCCAGCCTATGATTTCTGGCACTGGGTCCCTCCAGCTCCTGGGGACAGGGAGGAGATTTTAGCACCACTGCAGCTCCCATGCCCAGCTCATCCTCAGTCCTCAAAGCAGTCATTCCAGAAATATCCACAGGCAGCTGAGCTTCTGTTTTGGACCCAGGTGTTTCAGGACAGAATTTAGACTACTGCCTAGGACTGGCAGCAGCTGGGCTCCTGGACATAAAGGGTGGCACCCTGACTTTTCCAGCAGACAGGCCCAGTGTGGTAATGGACTATATCAACCCAGAGGTCAAAGCTGGAGGACCAGGGTCACTCGGGCCTGGTTGGTACTGGCCTTTGTATCCACTGTCTGTGAGGCCAGCTTTTCCCCACCCTGAGCTGACGGTGTCCTCGGGCCATGCCTCAGCCAGTGCCACCCTTGTCCTTGTCCAGAGGTGCACTTCAGAATCACCCACAAAACAATGCCCATCCCACCCATTCGGGCACAGTTTGGGTATCAAGGCTTTGGAAAAAATCTTCACTCTCTGCCAGAAGTGGGGATGGTTGGAGGCAGTTTGCCTTAGGCACAGCCCATTCCTTTACAAACAGTAGGTGTTCAGTTACCAAACATGAATGCATGGACAGAAAAGCACTCAGAAAATGAAAGCTTGCTTCAGACTACACCACAGCCTGGCAGCAGGTTCAAGATACCAATGGGGACTGCCAAGACCTGGGCCCAACCCCCTCCAAGCTCCACTCTGCTCTGCAAACAGGAAGGGAACCAAGGGAGAGAACGCCATCCCCCAAACTGTCCCCATAATAAACACTGGCGGCTGGGCACCACCTCAGCCTCTCAAGAGCTTATGTGAATGGGGCCCTTCCTGTTAACCATTCCAACCTAGCAAAGAGGACAAACAGTGATTAGTTACTGCAACAGACAAACCGGGTTGCCAGGTCTGTACCTGAACTGTACCACTGACACCCCAGCAACAGTGACCTGCTCTGAACAGACCCTGCATGACACCTGCTGCTCTGGGACCCTCAGACTCCCCTGAAGTGAGAGGACATGAGTCACTGTAGCTCCCAGCACCTCTCCCCTGCCAGTCAGGGCCCACAACCAGGGGCTGGGCCTCTATGGGAGGACAAGGGCGGGCAGCAGTCACTGAGGAGAAACTGATACCTAGAAAGGGTAGAATGGCAACTGGACCCTGAGGCCCAAGGTATACCTGTGCTGCCTGTAACACTTGGGTCAATTTGTAAGCTGCATTCTGGATGCTTCTTGACAAGCAGAGCTATAAACATTAGCTTTGCAACTCATAATATTGTGAGTAGAGAACTGGAAACAGAAACCAGGAGTGGCAGCACAAGAAAGACCAGGGTGTGCAGAAGCGGAGCAGTTCTGGATCAGGGCTTGGCGGGCTGGGGAAGGGGAAGCCACATTTATCTTCAGATTATCTACAAGGACACTGGGTCAACCAAAGTCAGAGCCTCGGTAAAGCAAAACTGCACCCACTGAGGCCCAGTTCCTGGCTTCAGGGCAGATCTGGTTACAGTTGAATGTGGCTGTGCAGCACAGACACTCACACATTGCACAGCTGCCAGTTCCCATGCCTGGGATGCCAGCAGGTCTGTGCAGTTCTTTGCATGAAGAGGGTGTGGATCTGAAAAACAGGTTAGCCACAGTCTTCAGGGAGGGAAGCCCACTGCCTCTCCAGACATGCAAGGATCCACAAGATGAGGTTCCCTCATCCTGAGTCAGACAGCCCAGGAAATGGGGGCAACTATGCTGCAAATCTCCCCCCCCCTCCCTGCAAGGAGGAAAGGCCAAAGCAAGTGGAATAGGTGGAGAGGGGTGTAGCCCTGCAGACTCAAGACCAACCTGCCTATGGAGTACATGGTGGCCACTGATTAATGGAGGATCACTACCACCCCAGTCTCCAACTGACTGGCTGGCAGTTTCCAGGTGGCAATTCTACAGTCCCTCAGTGTCATTCCACCCCATCAGGCACTCCCAGTTGTAGCCAACACAGAGAAGGGGCAAGAGTCACCCTGGAGGCCATATGTTAAGTCATGTGACTTGTGCATAAATGGCTTCTGGCACATCTAATGAAGAGATAATGTCAGCAAGATAACTCAAAGGAGGATGGTCTCTGCTCTGTTCACACTACCCAGGGGAAAATTAGCTTCAGGAAGGGAAAACAAATCAGGCCTTTGAAAGGGGGGCCATTCACTACACCAGGTTCCAAAATAAAGCCCAGCAGGAGCAGAGACTTCACAACCTGAATAATGCCTAATCATTTGTCTGGCAGTGACAGCTCACTACCGTGTGACACGTATCCAGGAGCCTCCTCTGTGCCGCAGGAGTCCCTGCAGAGGGTGCACAGGTGCGACTCAGGAAGGGTTTGCTTAGCCCAGCCGGTGCCCCTCCAGCAGGAACACCAGCCTGTAACTTGTATCTTCCACTCCTCCGCGCGACTTCTGCACCCGCAGCAGTATTTTTACACCCCGCAGCGGGCACAGCTGCTCCCCACCAACCACTCCTACAAGCCTCGAGTGGGTGGGGGCACACGACAGAGACAGGGCTCCCCAGCCTGTAAGTGACAGGGCAAGGCCGTCGCGCATCTGACCCTCGTTGCACGGACCACGATTCTACAAACAGCCGAATTCAACAGTGCGTCTGAACAAAGAAAAGTGCGTTAATTATGGCAGATGTGCGGAGTTGGGGACTCGGCTCCCCATGCTCCTCGGCCTGGCCCAGCACCCGCAACCCCCTCCGCTGAGCAGCGCGATCTCCCGCCCCGAAAGTCACGGCGACTTTGGGAGAGAGCCACTTTCACCCCCCAGCAGCAGCCGCCTTCGCGGGGCCAGAAACCCGGGCCGGCGGAAACCGAAAGCAGGCGCCGGGCCGTGCCGCCCCGCCCCAGACCCGGTCCCCGAGCCAGTGGGGGAGTGTCCCGGGAAATTCCAGGGTGTCCCGGGCCTGCGCCCCCGCCCCGCTCACTTTTTCGTGCAGTCCAGCAGGATCCCCGCGAAGCTGCGCTCGCCGCAGCTCACAGTGACCACCAGCGCGCCGTTGACGACCTGCTCCACCCGCACCGGCAGCCGGCAGCCGGCCCGCGGCTCCATGCTCCCGCTGCGTCCCAGGGCCGCCCCCGCCCGCCGCCGCCGCCGCCGCCGCCGGGTCAGCCCCGCGTGACGCCGCCTGACGTCACAAAGCTCGCTGGGCCGGCCGCCACCGCCGAGCCGGGCCGGGGCGCGCGACCGCGGGCTTCGCTCCTGGGCGCGGGAGGGTGCGGGCCATCCGCCCACAGCGTGTGCCCGGCGGCCTGCGCCTGCTCGCAGGACTGGACCGAGAGCGCATTAAGGAGCCCACCGGGCGGGGAGGCAGCTTCGTTACTGTCCCCGCCACGCTGGCCAGGAACGTCTCTGGCCCGGGAGCGTCTCTGGAGAACCGGAGAGTCAGGAGCTGCCGGGGAGGGGGTTCGGGGGTACACGCCACTGGCCCTGGTCCGAGGGTCCCCTGCCCCCCACCGCTCTGTTCCGGGGCCCCTCCTTCTTCCTGATCCTGTCCGGGGCCCCTCCCCCTCCCGGGCCTGCCTGGGGCCTCTCCCTCCCCCTCTACCCCTGGGTCCCCTTCCTAGGGGTCTGCGCCTGGGTGCTTTGGCAGCGTCCCGGCGCGGGGCTCTGGTGGCCACGGGGCGCCAAGGAAAGAAAGTCCCTCGCAGAACTGGCAGGAAGCTGGTCGGGCCGGGCGGAGGAGACGCGGGGCGCAGACGCGCACCCACAGCTGCCTGGAGTCGCCCGCACGGCGTAGGAGGGGGCGGGGCTGAGCCAACCCCTGTGTATTAGACAACTCCTTGGGCGACCAGAGGACGCACGCTGGCTCAGGGCCACCCTGTGCACTGCGGGGTGTCCGGCGCCGGGATTTAGGAGGGTAACTCCGCCCAGAGGTCTCGGAAGTGTGACTCAGGGTCTGAGGGGCCTAGGGCGCACCCACCCATAAGTCCTGATGACCCACCACCCAAAGGCGGAAAGAGCCACCTTTCCAGAGTAAGCGCGGGGCTCCCGGCGCACAACTCGTCCCACCCAGGCAGGCTGGAGAGAGTAGGCGGTTGTGGCGCTGAGCGGACGCCGGACGGCCGCCCCAGACCCAAAACCTAAGGCTGCCAGGGACCCGGCCTGTTGCAGTGACCTTGGCCCCAGAGCCCCAGGACACTAGGCATGGCTTACGGCGCCTAACCCTGCACTAGACGTTCGGGGATGGGACACCAGAGCTGTCCTGATCATCCGCCTGCTGGGCCTCGGCCCCTCTGAACCCGGGAATAGGATTCCCGCTCCGCTCAGACCTGCGGCGTAGCCGCCACCCCCTGGCGCTGCAGGGGACAGTCGGGCCAAAGCGGCGCCGCTCCACCTCGCCCTCTGGCAGGCGTGGCGTGGGGAGCCTGTGAGGAAGCCTGGACCGAGTCATAGGCCGCAGGACTTCGGGCACCTCAAGTGCCGTCCTCTACTGGGCCTGGGGTTCCCAGGGAAGGGGGCGGGTGTGGGGGTGTGTGGGGGGGTGTGTGGAAAAGCTGACTGCTACCCCCACCGGAGCTGAGGTGGCCGATTTGGGGTCAGAAATGACAGGTCCCAGGTGGGGCTAGGGGCTGGCTGGAGGCTGAGTACCCATTCAGCACAGTTGCCAACTGAGCGCCGCTCCTTGCGGGCTCCACCCTTTCTGGTTGCTGGGGACAGCACCACAGAGGACACCCTCCTGGAGTTGGATAGCTTCCAGGCCGGTGGGAACAGCATGGGATTGGAGGTATCAAGGCAGAGGGGGCCGAGAGGGCAGTCCAGGAAGAGTGTAGGGAGATGCTAGCAGAGGGGAGACTAACAGTTTGGGGAGTAAAGTCAGTTAGAGGGTAGGATAGGCAGAACGGATGCTTCTGTAACATGTTGGTCTGTTCTGCTGAGGAATGTGCTTCCTGGTAACTCCCCAGGTGTCTGCAGGAAGCGCAGTTCCGGGTGTGGTGGGGGACACACCTAAGAACTTGCTGGGCTCCAGGAGGGGCCAGAATGTGTGGAGGCGGTGGAAGTCCTTGGGATTCCTGCGGGACTGAGGGAGGCAGCTGGAAGTTCCCAAGCGGGTGATCAAAGCAGGAAAGGTGAAGAGACCAGAAAGAAGCCACTGCTGGCTGGTTTGTGCTGTGTGTTGTGTATTCTTAAATGAATTTGACGGTCATTTTTTAAAAGCTGTTCTCCACCAGGTAGAATATTGCAGAAAGACAGCAGACAGGGAGATGGTTTGCAATTTAAATAGTGGCCTTTCAGCCTCAGTCCCGCCCACAGCCTCCTATTGACTCCCTCACTTCTTGTTTCTAGAAGGCTATGGGAGTTTCCAGAGACCTTGACTAAAATGCACATGACCCAGAGCAGACTGAGTCAGCCCAGGTGTCCTGGGTTCCTCACCCCACCTGCCCAGCCCTGAGTTGGGCAGGCCAGACCTATGTGTTCACTGCTGGGAGCATCCCCAAAATCCCCTGCTCATGCTGGCCCATCCTGGAAAGAAGGCCTGGGGCATATGGGCTGCCTGATTGGGGCTGGAGAGAAGCTTGCTGAGTTCCCCTCCTAAAGGAAGCCCCTCCCTAGGCCTCCAGAATTTCAGCAGATTTGAGTCCCTACAGCCTTTGACCCCTGGCTGCAGATACCACCTTGGCAGGCTTGGGAAGCACCAGCCCTTTGCCTCTCCAAGGCTGGCCTTGGAGGGTCTGATGGAGGCCAAGTGGGGGTGCCCAGGAGACAGGAGACCATGTGGAGCTCTCACTGGGTCCTAAATGGGGTGATCTGGAGTTGGCAGAATGGGCAATAGAGGTGTCCAAGACTCTAGGCTGTAGGGGTGTAGTTGGAAGGAGGTGTTTCAGTGTTCTCTCCAGAAAGGAAAAGGAGGCTGGCAGCAGGGTGCCTTCCCTCAGAGCCCTGGTCTGTGCTCCAGGATTTGCCTTCCACAGCAGCCTGGCCCCTACTCACCACCTCTGTGCCTGTCCCTCCATCTGGCAGGGTGAATCGTCATTCAGGTCCTGGCTCAAATGGTCCGTCCTTGAACACATCAGCCTAGACCCACCCAGCACTGGTCCTTCCAGAATCTCACTGAATGCACTATATAACTAGCCTTGGTCTTTCCAGGAGGTAGAAGCCTCACAGGGGCTTCCACATGACTGTGATGCTGCTGCCATGACCATTAGCCTGTCCCGGGTTACCTGGCCAGGTAGCCAGTGATTTATACACAAAGACACACACACACACACACACACACACACACACACACACACACACCCTGGACTTGCTTCCACCTCTGAGTTCACCAAGCCTGGCCAGCTGGGTGGTTGTCCTGCTAGGCAGCCTGTCAGAGAAGTACTTCTGAGATGGGATCAGTGTAGAGGCTTCACAGGCCATAGCCATGCACTGGAGACCACAGATTTTCTCAGGAGCCATTTCCCAGAGGGGAAATGAGGTGGGTCTTGATACTTAGGCCTAGGCTGCCTTGTGGCAGGCTTCATGCTGAGGCAGTTGTTGGAAGGAAAGGTATAGGATGAGGCCCTGGAGAACCAAGACCTGGTGAGACCATCTTCATTAAGCAGCCATTGTGAGTTCAGGGTAGAGTGAGGTGCAGGAGCACACCAGGCCTCCCCCAAGGCATCTTAAAAAGAAAACCCAAGCTTCCCTGAGGCTAGCCCGGGCAACAGTCCTGTAATGTTCTCAAGGCAGGGCCTCAAGTGAGTCTTTACAGCCAGAGAACCTGATCTCCCCAAGGTCACAGAGACTTGGAAACATTTTCCCCCCCTATTCCACTAAGGAGCCTTTGGGAAGTTTGGGTCTGCAAGTCTTGCTCTATCTGACCAGCCTGGTCTGGAGCTCTGTCCCTGTTCCATGCAGTATTAAGATAGATACAGGCCTTACTCATAAGGAAACATCTCAAAGGCCTGGCTGGAAACAGAACCTGTGAGAACTGTGCTGGAGGTTGTACAGAGAGCTGATTAAGAGCATAGACTCTGAGCTAAACCTTAGAGTCATCCTCTGTGTGACCTTGGGGGGCTGCCTGCCTCCCCTGTGCCTCAGTGTCCTCACCTGTAAAGTGGGAATAATGATGCTCCCTACCATATAGGGTTATAGTGCAGACTGAGTCATTTTCATGGGATTTTTATCATAGTACCAGCCTCCAGGAAGGATCGACCAGAGTCACCTACAATTACCAACCCCAGCACCATCATCACCACTATCACCAACACTACCATTACTATTACCATCACCATCATCAGCACCATTATCTCCACTGCCGCCACCACTACCTCCACACTCACCATCACTGCCATCACTATTGTGATAGTTCTCTCATCTCCATCGAGATAGGTTTTTACCTTCAGCTGTGCCTGAATTGGGAACCTCAGCCCCACTCCATTCCGAGGTCCTGCACAGTGGTCAGGGCTGGGCTGGAGAAACCTGTGCCCACATGCCCTGCATAGGCTCTGCCCCCACTGGTATTTAGCTGAAGCCATGGGAAGCTGCTGATTAGCCTGGGAGATGAGTGCTTCCAGACAGCTGCCCTACAACCCTACTTACCCATGACCTGTGCACTTCTGCATGCTAAGAACCTCCCATAGCCAGGGTAGCACTGAGCAGGGGCCTTGAATCTCCTCCAGGCTGAGATCCAAGAGGCCCCTACATTGCAACCATCTGAGTAAGGACATTTTGAGCATAGGGAATCTTCCCTGAATGATTAGTTTCAAAAAACAAAAGGTGATTTGTGGCCCTTTTCTTTTTCAGTGGTCTGTTTCTCCCTTAGATGTCTATTCTCCGTGAAAGAGCATGTTCTCCATGCTCAACCCATGCCAATTTGGAACCCTCTCCTCCAAAGGTGTTTTCAGGGTCTATACACTGTCCAAATCCTTGTTGGAAATTAACCCTTCATGTTCC